GATCTAGATATGTATCTTTTATATGGGGCTCTGGATGATAGATCTCAGGGTTTTTAGTCAAAAGAGAAAGGGAGGTAGCAGAGGGAGGGATGCAGAGAGAAAGAAAGAGAATTCAAAAGACTTAAGTACAGTGGGGCTTGGTATCCACTAGGCTTTGGTTCCAGGACCCCCTGTGGATATCAAAATCAGTAGATGCTCAAGTTCCATTAAATATAAAGGCACAATAAAATGGTGTTCCTTATATGAAATGGCAAAATCAAGGTTTGATGTATGGAATTTATTTTAATTTTGAATCCTCAGATTCAACCATCCATGGCTTGAAAATATTTTAAAAATTAAAATAAATTCTAAACAGGAAACCTTGATTTTGCCATTGAGCTGAATAGTGGATAGTTGAATCCGTGGATAAAGAATCCATGGACACGAAAGGCCAACTCATGTAGTTTAAGAGGAGCTACAGTCTAATAATTTGTCACAGTTCTACAAAAGTTGTCCATCCGAGTCTAGTTGTATCAAAAAGGATTTCTGCAAGATCATTTGGCATGCACCACAATCAAATGTTGTAGTGTAGCCTTCCTTGTATAACTACCCCTTTCAGAGTTCCAATGAGCCATTCCTTCCATCCATCTTTTTCCTTGAACCTTCTAATATTCTGTTTTATTTTTATTTTCCAATGGTGACTCTGCATATCAAGAGTGTAGCTACTGGGGAAAGGGAAGAAAAATTAGGGCTTTGCCTGCCCCTAAATAAGAATTTTGTTTCCCAAAATGATTATTTTCCTTTGGCATTGTAGAGAATGAAGTATTGAAAATAATTAACAATTTGGGACTCATTCCCACTTACATTTAACCTGGTTTGCGATTCGATGCATTGTTCCCACTATGAAAGCAGGTCTTTTCTTTATTCATCTCATTTTTTTTGGCATGATTGTCATTCCCACTAGTTTCTGCCACTTCAAAATGCCTATCAATCATCTACGTGTCATTGGTGACACAACCGGCAACACTTTCAAGAAAATATGGGAGGGAGTCATGGGTGCCATGGCCAGAATTCTCTCCTGGGATGCATGCACCCATGGCTCTCATGGAGGACTCTCCCCCAGGATGCATGCAATTTTTAAAAAATTGACAATATATGAGCTCCATTGTTTTTGCAATTACTT